TGATTTTAAAACAATTAAAGATTTATTACAGATCACTCCTAATTTAGCGTTTTTTAATTTAAATAAAACTATCATAGTAAGTGCGGACGCGAGCTGTTATGGCCTTGAAGGTTGTCTCATGCAACTAAATGATGACTCTACTAGAGAAATTGTAGCATTTTCATCTCGTTTACTGTCTAAAGCTGAAACACGGTATGCGCAGATCGAGAAGGAGGCCTTGGCACTAACTTGGGCTGCAGAATATTTTTCTGACTACATTTATGGAGCGAAAAACCTAATTTTTGAAACAGATCATAAACCTTTATTACAGATCCTACAGACTAAATACTTGGATGACTTGACACCAAGATTGCAACGTTTTCGTATGCGACTTATGAAATACAGGTATACAGTTATATACGCTCCTGGAAAAAATTTAGTAGTCGCAGACACTCTTAGTAGGAGTCCGTTAGAAAGTGCAATAAGTAAGGATGATAATTATGAGTTAACGCATGAAGTAGAGATGTACGTTAGGTCAATTATAAAAAATTTGCCAGTTAAAGATTATTTTCTTCAGCTAGTTAGGAATGAACAAAATAAAGATTATATTTTACAAAAACTGAAGGAATATTGTTTAACTTCTTGGCCAGAAAAATCAAAGTTGTCTATTGAGTTTCTACCTTATTATCAGTATAGGTATGAAATCTCTTATAATGAGTCTTTACTTTTGAAAGGATCACGAATAATTATACCCAAAACTTTAAAACTAAAGTGAATGGAAATCATACATACAGGACATTTAGGTATCGTTAAATGCAGGGAAAGAGCTAAATCTAGTGTCTGGTGGATAGGGTTGTCAACACAAATTGAGAATCTTGTGAAATCTTGTCCACAGTGTGTTGAAAACAGATGCAACACCAAAGAAACTTTCCAAAAAGATAAAATGGCAACAAGACCATGGCAGAAAATAGCAATATATCTTTTCAAACTTGAGAAATGGTATCTAATAGTAGTAGACTATTACTCACATTTTTTAGAAATTTTTGAATTAATCAACATGAATGAGAACAATATCATTGTGAAAGTTAAAGAATTATTTGCTAGGTATGGCATTGCTGAGGTAGTTAGATCCGATAATGGACCTCAATTTTCTTCGAAATTTAAAGGTTTTGCTTGTGAATATAACTTTTTACATATAGCAAGTAGTCCTTATTTTGCTCAGAGTAATGGTTTGGTCGAGAGAACGGTGCAAACGGATAAACATCTGATTAAGAAAAATAAGGCTGACATATTTTTGGCTCTATTAGCATATAGAGCAACTCCATTAGAGTCAGGTTTTTCACCAAGTGAACTATTAATGTCCAGAAAGTTACGTACTAACTTACCCCAGTTACCTATTAAGCTAGAGAAAATTGTTGATACTCGGTCTCATTTCAGTGGGATAGAGAAGGAAATAAAAGAGAAACAAGCTAAAAACTATAATAAGAGACATAGAGTTAAGGATATGACTTCCTTAAACATAGGCGATTCAGTTTGGGTGATTGATTTAAGACAGTATGGAAATATAACTGATATATGTGAAGAACCACGTTCGTATATAGTTGAAACCAGTAGTGGAAAATATAGGCGAAATCGGTGGCATTTTGTTCAAGCTCCCTATCATTCAACCAATATCCAGGCTGAACCACCTATACCTGATTTGTTCTTGAAACATAAAGAAAATCATGTTCAGAGAAAATTTGAAAATGTAAACGATTGAAATGAAATTTGTTATGAAGGTGACTAATACTCAGGATGAAAATAAAAATTGTCAAAGTGAGGTGCAAGTGAAAAGTGAAAGTGTAGAAAGTAAAAAAGTAACACAGACAGATATCAGTTGAAGCAGGCCTAAGAGAAATGTTAAAACACCTGTGCACTTGTCTGATTATGTATTAGAATAGAATTTAAGACAGCTATCGGCAACATTGGAGTATGACTTTAATTTCTATGAAAAAAAAAGGGGGGGGATATAATGTAATGTTCTACTTACTCCATGGTTGTTGATGTCCTGTGTCTGTAACTCTGTTGGGTGATGTTCCAAGCTTCGACAGAGGTCAAGAAGGGGAGGTCGATGTGATATATTTTGGTGAGCAAATTATAAAGTATCGAGAAGCAAATAAACCCAAATAAAGGATCTCAGAGTTTTATTTGCATGATACGATGGAGTCTGTGTGCGTGCTTCATAATTATAGAAATAAATTTAAGAACAACTAAATGAGGAATACTCGTCAAGAAAAAAAATTACTTTTACACTACCTGCCTCACTGCCAAAGAAACAATATTCAATATATCGGAGTAAACAATTATATAATCACTTGCAACACCAAAGTATAAAATACCCGAGCAATTCAGAAATTTTGTTTAAGTTCTCCCGGCGGGAAATAACCTCTCTAGTATTGAGGAATATTTTTCAATAAAATTTCACTCTTTCCATGATATTTCTCAGATGAAATTTTTTAAATTCAATTTGTGTATTTGTATTTTTGATTTTTGGCTAAAACGTGTACTTTTATAAAGTTAAGTCTTTTTTCAATGGGTGAATAATATTTGTGTAGTTCTAGTGACTTTAGACAATAAAGCTATATATCTTTTATCATGAGTCAACATAGATGAGATAATGCCAATGTTTGCGTTGCTTGTGGGTTGGGCTATCTATAGGGCGCGTCCCCAGGTGGTGGATAGGGGAACGGCCAGGGAACTGGGGGCCCTGTCCGAGAAGCCCATATGTAGTCTTACGGATGGGATCGCCGGACTCCTGGTCAGTGGCAGAAATAAGTAGGGCGAGGGGAACTAAAACTCCCCAAAAGACTTTGCGAAATATGCCACTATGGACAAGCCTACCCTGGCTAAGGTGTAAAGAATCGTGCCGTCAGCTGAATGGCCGCAGGGTGATATGCGGTCACGAACGATCCCCTTGGGGAACCGGGCGAAACCTCATTGTAATTTGCCTTCCTCTGGTAATGCGGGGCTCTGCCAGAGGTGACCAACTCTTCCCTTGCTACTCGTGGGAACACACATATATGAAACAAACAAACGGACACAACAAAAACCAATCCCGAGGCTGGACAGAAGTGCTCACCTCAATCTATGGCGGTAGCTGGGGATGAACAGAAATGTACACCCCAATCTACCGTTCGGAATGAGGCTGGGCATAGCAGATCACCTCGTGATGTAAAACAAAGGCAGCGCATTTGCGGCGCCGAGGCCAAAAGGAGAAAGAGAGCGAAAGAGGTAGAAGTGGCAGCAACTATAACCAGCTGCCCCTGCAGGAAAGCGCCCTCACTTGAACACTTTCGTTAGGAGAACCCAAGGAAGGTTGAAGAAGCCGCGCAACGACTGTAATGTCGCTACACCTTCCAAAACCTTCGCGGAGGCCGCCGTGAGATAACTCAAGGTTGCCAAAGAGAGTGTGTGTTCGGCAAGTCTTGGCCTACACCTGCCGATATAAAGGAAATGTTTTCTAGTGACCTGTCCACCTTCCTGGAAAGGACAGGAAGGACGATGACCTAGGAGGACAACTCCTCGGGAGGATGTACAATGGGTCACATGTGGCCTAAGTGCTATGGGTATACACTCATCCTCCCTACTATATGCATACATACATACAATGGGTGTATAATATTCGTGTAGTTCTAGTGACTTTGTGACAAAATATTAACATTTTAGACAATAAAGCTATCTATCTTTTATTATGAGTCAACATAGATGAGAGGATGCCAACGTTTGTGTTGCTTGTCAGCGTCGGCTCGTAAGAAACAAAATGTCAGTCTCAAAGCATGATTTGTGGCACGTTGGGCATTGGATTTATCTGTCAGCAATCTACACCTATGGATTTAATTGAATAAGTGACAAACTTGTCACATGATGAAGTTTTTCGATGATTATTTTTCTCTTCAACCTATGGGTGTAACATTGATGACAGCAGTGAACAAGTGGAAGTGAAGAATAATTGATTCCATGTATATGGAGAATTATCAAGTAACTATGATGACTAGATGGTGGTAACGGTGGATATCCTTGAAATCTTGAAATATATGAGACAAAAACAGCTACAGAAACAATTGGAAGAATAAGAAAAGAAAAAAAGGGCTGCAAGAAAAGAAGAAAAGAGTATGAGACAATAGTCTGGGATACGGAAACGACTCTAAGAACAAGAAAACAAAAAGGTAGAACTTAAACCTTAAGCGTAGAATTGATTCAAAACAAGTGCTGCTCCCAAAAACCAGAACTGCAACACTCTTCTCGACGCGCGTTTCACCAATCGACTTGGCGTCTTCAGGAGAATCATTTTGCACAAAACCAGCATGTTTTGTAACAGTTGAAAATTGTCCCTTGCTTGAGTTGGTTCCAGGGATCTTGAATCATTAGAATAACATCAAGAACAGTGGTCTTTGGGTCCGGGGTTCATTTATAAAACACCCCGGATATCTAACTGCCTAGCAAAAAAATTTGCTTTATTTTGTAGCAGAGGTCAATTAATGGGTACTCCCCGGTCGCGCTGAAACTTGAACCACTGTAACAATGCCTTATCCAACTACCCATGAGTAGAAGTCCTTAGTGTGCATTTCAAAACATTGGCATTAAACAGCGGCTCGATCTTCATTGGTATTGGTGCGTAGGTTGTGTTGTGCGACGTTTAACCCGACCGTATTATCCTAAAAAAATGGTCGCTAAAAGCAGTTGGTCGCTTAAAACGGAGTCGCACTAAACGGTTATTTTTTCTCAATACCTAAGTATGAAACTCAATTTGAGTAAACATTATCGTCATCAAAACCGGTTAGTCGTTAAAAGCAAAGTCATTAAATATTAATTCTATTATACTTGTACTCATGCAAATGTACGAATTCAATTGTGAAATGATTTTTGTATTACAATAAATTTTGTAATAACTAGCTCTAATCACATCATGAATTTATTACTGCATATGTTGATTCATTTTGGTAGAACGATTTAATTTGATATATAACTTTTATATTTTTTAGGTAATGCAAAAACGGTCAGGAATGATAACTCCAGTAGATTTGGAAAATTTATGCAAGTGTGTTTTGATTCAAGATGGATGATTGCAGGATGTATCATTCAAGACTATTTATTGGAACAATCTAGGATTACATTTCAAGGAACAGGAGAGAGAAATTATCATGTTTTTTATCAGTTGGTTGAGGAAGCAAAAGTAAGAATACTGTTTGAATTTTAGCATTCCTTTTTTAAAATATTAAGAGAGAATTATCTTTCAAGTTTTTACAAAAAGTAGGAAAAATGTTTTTTTGCGACAAATTGATATATTTATTGTTTTTTCATACTCGCCTTCAAGATTCAAACACATATTGGCATGCATTCAAACCAATTACTAAAACATGTTTTTCGTCCTCTCGAAGATGATCACTTGGTGATCATAACACGTGTCGAGGTGTTAAAATAACGGATTGGTGTTGGGAGTAAACTCCAGTAATATTCATTACTACACCAAAGGTTCCAAACAGTGCATCATAAGTACTTGTCCATTTTTTAAGAGTTCAGATTCATAAATACAATTCCATAACAAATTTGAGACGGTGCGTTGTCTTGTTCCGCAAATCGGCGAGTTTGTAGTGGCGACAATACAACTCATGTTGTATATCAAAACAAAGTATATTGACAATAAACCTATTGCAAGAAAATTAAAAGTGATACAATACTTCATGGATGAGTTATTACAGACTTTGTGCATAATACGGATCCACCTGAATCAAAGTGTGTGTATAAAAAAGGCTGATAAGTGAGTATTTATTGTCTGTAAAAAGTTCGGACATGGGGTCTAGTTTTTGTTGACTTGAAAGTAATTTTAAACAGCCGCTAGTGGCGTATAAATTTACACAAATAGGGCGTAAATTCAAATGCTGTAAGAAAGACTTTGTAAATCTTTTTTACATTACATGTTGGGACATTTTTCATCCAAGTTGTTTAGAGTGGAAAAATAATCATGAAGAACTTGGTAGGTTCAAAATTACTGTTCCCCAAAATACGAGCTGGAGGGTTAAGAGAGAAAAAAATGCAAACACCCTAGTGTGTGATATTAAAAAATGGAAGAAAGATGTAATCCAAAGAGATGAGACCTATAAACCAGAAGATGAGAAACTTGAAAAAAATAAATGAATTATTGGGGTGGATAGACGAATTAGAGAAAGATACTAGAGAAAAAGAAGCTGGTTATATGCGTGCTAGAAAATTAACCCAGGATTTTGAGGACGAAGTCTATGAAACTGAACAAATGTATTTAAATAAACAGAGAGAATATGAACTATTATTAGCTCAATTGCAAAAAGACATAAATGATGTGAAAAAGAGAAATTAATTGCTGAAAGAAGAACTAAGACACAAAACAGATGAGCTAAACAAACAGTTCAGAGACTTACAAAACCTCCAAAAAATAAATTCAGAGATGCTTATCACAATTAGAATTCTGGCAATGAACAATATTACATACAGTATCTGAAGAATGAAGTGACTCATCTAAAAAGCACATGGAAAAACTACACCAGAGAAGAAAATTACATTAGAGAAATAGCGTCATCTCCTGCAAAGGTGTCCAAGCGGAAGAAATTGGAAATTATTAAAATACCAGCATATGCAGACAAAATTAATGAAATACCAACACACGCAGGCGAAAGAAAAAATGTTAATTGTATCGTCCGTTCACGGTAAAGGTTTAGGAGAAACTTAGTCTAAACAAGCAGAAAAATATTTCATCCTATCCATTGTAAAACCAAATGCCTCGGACAGGAAATTAGTATATACTGCTATCAACTTTGCAAGAGAGTTTACCAAGAACGACGTTGTATTAATATGGCCAAAAAGTCTCTCTACGAATTCACTGGTCTTACTTAATTCCAAACTCAATAACATTCACACAATTATTCTCTCGGAACCTTATAGGTTTGATGTGAATATGAATAAACTGATTTATAAAAATAAACTTCTCATCCGCAAGAAACTTCACTTCCAGGATAATAACCTAATCTCCAAAGGTGTCAAATTTGGCGAGTGGGCCCATTTTTTAGGACCTCAACAGCCAATCCAACGACCGGGAAAAGTAGTATCTAAATAGTTTCTTACTTGTCTGGAGTAATGTGGTGGTGCTCCATCTTGTTGGAATACAATATCCATATCGAATTCATTAGGATTCGCTTCGACGATTTCAGTGATGAGAGGGTCAATAGTAGTTTAAATATATTGCATTTTTATTCAAAAAGAACATGATTACAGTATAAAATCCATAAACATAACATGATCTTTCTATGCCGAATGTAATCAGTTTCATAAAAATACGTTTGATTCGTGAATATTCATGTGAATTCTGCCTCCATGCTGTTTGCTGTTGCCGATCAAAAGTGGAATCCTAGAAAACATACAGGTGTGTTGGTTCCTTTTTCTCATATATTTATCCTTATACTATCCTTTCTTCAATAAGTGCTGACTAGGGGGTTTGAAACTCTGCATAATACTGACAATTAGTTTTTCGTGAAACTAAATAAAATACTCAAAAAATATACATACTTGTGACTTTGCATAATATTAGCAATTACAATTCTCTGAATTCAATTATTTTCGAAAGTATTTTATTTACATATATTGACTTTCATTATGGCAGCCACTTTGAAAACGAAAAGGGGAATGATTAAGTCGCAGTTAACTCGATTTGAAACATATCTTAATAAAGTACGGGATGAGCAAAGCTCCGATACGGTTCAACTAGAGCAGATGCTCAACAAAGCAGACTCTTTATTAGAATGAGTTAGAACTTTCATTATTAGATGATGATCAAGAGGGTTTGAATGTGGTGCAACAAGAATCATTATTGTTTGAAGATATGTATTATAAAATGATACTCGAAATTACATTATCTCAAAAGTTCAACTTGACATAACCTCGCCACAGGTCAGTGGCACCTCAACTAAACGTCCCAGATGTGAACATTCAATTACCTGTAGTGAATTTACCGACCTTTGACGTCTCATACAATGATTGGCTCTTTTTTAAAGATACGTTCAAGTCGATTATTCACGAAAATACTTCTATTTGGAAAGTTCAGAAATTTCACTATTTAAGACTTTCTTCGAAAGGGGGTGCTGCAAATATTATTAAATCTCTTGAAATATCCGATACTAAGTATGATACTGCATGGACTTGTTGGATTGAAAGATATGAAAATAAATCATTATTGGTCTCAAATCACATTAAAGCTCTTTTCAATCTACCATCAGTGCAAAAAGAATCCTGTACCATTTTGCGTCAACTATTAGATGGAATGTCGCTGCATTTGCGCGCTTTGAAAAGCCTCGGATTGCCAACGGAGCATTGGGATACAATTATTATTCAATTAATTTCAATAAAACTCGACCCTATTACAAGAAAGGATTGGGAAATGAAAAATACTAAATCTGAATTACCCACATTACAGTCGTTTTCAGTTTTTCTGAAAGAGAAATGTTGCCTTTTGGAAACTACATAATGAGAAAACTTCGGAAAAAGCTTACACTAAATCAGTGAAATCTCTTGTCGCAACGAATACAACAAAATGTATTGATCAAAACTGTCCATTCAACATGGATGCCAGTAAGAATGCCGGCTCTGATGGGCTAAAGAAAATCTGCAATTACTGCAAAAAAAACGTCAGTACGGGATTGTATTGTGTTACCTATGAATCTATGTATCATAGTAGCTGTGCAAAAAGAGTAAATTCTTGTTGTGAAGTGATTCTCAGCACGAAATTCCAGGCACCAGATTATGACTCAGATACACTCTCTGAAACAAGCTATCTGAGGGAAGAAAACAAACTCCTAGGGCAGATAATCATGGACAAGGACACAATCATCAGGGACAAAGACACACTCATTGCACTTTTATCTGAAAAAATCATACTCCTGGAAAACAACCCATCTTTAAAGTGCATAGAAGCATCAACTTATCAACCTGATCACAAAAAAACTGCCCAAAGTAACTTTAATCTGCTCAATGATACAAAAAAAGACCAAAGTAAAAACAACCGAACATCTATGAAATCCAATAGCAACAAAAAACTATCGAACACTATTTTAAGTCCAGGCATACAGGGTGATACATCAGATAAGAGTAAATCGAACTTACAATTACTGGAAGTCCAAACAATGAAAAAATGTGA